TATAATTGATTTGATTTGTAGTTTACCTTTAAATTATTTAAATTATCCAATTACAAAATAAAATTTAATTGTAAGATAACTTAATTAAATAATAAAATATATTTTTTATAATATCTTAAATTTTTATTTTCTTATTTTACAAGATAATAACTACATTAACTTAATTAAAAAATAAAAATAAAATATCTTTAGATTCCCTAATTTATTATTTTTTATTCTGAATTGTACACTTTAATATTAATTCTAAATTTATAATTCTAAATTTATAATTCATCCACGACTTTACTCCTCAAAACTGGTCTATAACTCCACTCTTAGAACCCTAAATTTCTAATTTATTCTTAAAATGACATTTTGATCCTCCTAACTAAACTTTAAAGAAATATCAATGTAGAAATCTTAAAACTACATAATAGAACTAATCTTAATATTTTCCTGTTCTTGGATGTTTGGTTGAAGAGTTTTAAATCTTGATTATGAATGCTTCTAATCAATCTTAGTAATATTCATGTTAAATTTTATTCATTTTATAGAGCTTGAAAGATGACATTGAATCATTGGTGCATTAAGAAAAAAATTATTTTTACTTTTAAATATTACTTACACTGTACTTAAAACTTGAATTATTTTTTATTGTTCTTGGTGCTTTTGGTGATATAACTAAAAAAAATTTTCAAATCTTTTCGATCTTTATAATTGTAAAGGAGTATAAGAACTTAGTTATAATTTGCTCCATTTATTATGTTTTCACTAATTTAAATGTTAATGTGTTTTATAATTATGCTTTCTATTTCATGTTAAAATTTTTTATATTATCTCATATATTTAATGGTATTCAAAACCAATTAATCTAAACAAACCGCACCAATCCGATTTAAATTAAATTGGTTTAGTTATCATATAATAATAGATTAAATTGGTTTAAAAATCTTTTACTAATCAATTAAATTAGATTGATTTAAAAAATACTAAAATTCAAACCAAACCACATTATAAACACCCATAATTTGAAGTTGATAATTTTATGAATTAAAATAGTAAATTCGAACAGAACAAAGACAACGGAGAGAGAGTCAGGGCCGAAAGAAGAATGCCTGGGATTGCCGGGTGAGCTGGTGCCTCTGCTTCTCATAATGCTCGGTGCTCTTTGCTCCTTTCACCATCCATGGATAAAGGAAAATGATAAATGGGACGAAAAAATGAGCATTAAAAACAAGACGAAAAGATCATAGCCATTAGTGATACGGACGGGACCCCATACCATATCGATGGTGTTAATCTTTCATTTTGTTTATTTTCCCACGCTTTGAGGTAAATTAATTGAGTTTTTTTTTCTTTAGGGCCATTAAATTTACGGGAAAGGCCATTTAATTTACAAAAAAAAAGTATATAAATTTTGACTTCTAATAAAAATTGGAATCTTGAACTCTAACAACGTTATTTCTCCTAATTCCCAGCCCTCTACTTTTTTCACTGCTTTTGCATCTCAATGAATTATCTC